AGGCGTGAGGGGAGGAGGCCGGACCGAGGGGCCGAGGGGCCGGCGCCGGGGCGGGGGCCCCGGGCCGAGGGGAGGGGAGGCCGGGCCCAGGAGGCAGGAGGCCGGGCTGGGAGAGGGAGAGGGGAGGACGAGGAAGGCGAGGCCGGCGGAGGGGCAGAGGGGGCCGGCCCGAGGGGAGCTCGGGGAGGGTGCGGGCCGGAGCGGGAGCCGCGCTGGGCCCCGCTGGGCGTTGGTGGGTGAGGCCCGGAGCAGCCAGTGCTAAGGGTCAGACAGGCTTGTAAAGGTGGCAGCCTGTGCAGGCCGCCAGTAGGGCATTCCCCATTCTATCGAATGTGAAGTTCTGATTTTTGCGACCCGTTAGTCAGGTAGACAGCACTGGAATTATCTTAGTTTTCAGATGAGGAGATTAAGGCCCAACGAGAAGTGACTTGCCCAGGCTTTGTGTGGGTTTTGGAGTTAGGCTAAAGGAGAACCTGGAGCCTCTCTGGGGCAAGTTCCTTAAGCTTTCAGGGACTTATGTGACCCCACTTGTAATGTGGGGCACCTGGGCTACACCTCACAGATTGAGATCAGGGTGAGAAGTACTAACTAACCTGTGAAAAGTGCTTGGCCCTGGGCAGGGCAAGGCAAGTGCCCGGCCTGGGAGGGAGTAGCCAGGGCGGGAGTAGCCAGGGCTGGTTTGGGCCCCTGGTTGTACCAGGGCAGAGGTTCAGCGCACAGTGGAATTAATTTCCATGGGTGTAGGTAGGGGAGGTATGTGGAGTCTTTCCAGGCTGAAGGGAGCCAAAGCAAGGTTGGCCCTCCCCAAATTTTCTTCCTGGATCCCTACTTGGGGGTGGAGGCTGAGGCAGGGTTACCACACTGCTCTCCCCAAACCCTCTGTAACCCAGCAGTGAGTTGTCCTGGGCGTTTTTGCTCTCTAGGTGCTCTCCAGCAGGATTGGGGTTTCCCTGGGAGAAGTGTCTCACCTGGAGCACCCTGGCTATCCAGAAGGGTCCCAGAGCCACCACTGGCTTAGGAGACCTCCAGTATGGGGCTGAGTTGCCTGAGGGGCTGGTGGCTGCCTGCTGGGACCTTCATGGACACTGGCTCCATGCTCATCACTGTGATGGATGATCAGAGCTCTGAGGTGCCTTGCTGCCTACCTCTGTCCTGAGGCTCCCAGTCTTGATCAGAGCTGGTTTGGGGGAGGCTTTAATGGGTTCTTTCTTCTGCTGCTTGGGCTGGATTTCCTCCTTTTTGGCTGGAGCCTTCCCTCCTGTCTCTTTTTTTTTTTTTGTCCTTTTTGTCTTTTTTCCGTGTTCGGCAACAGATCGCAACCCTCAGTGTTGCCCCCGTACCGGACCGGGGACCGGCAACGGAATCGCAAGCCTCGGTGTTGCTCCCGCGCCTCGCTCAGCCAGTGAGCGGGAGCCGGTCTCTATGTGGGATCCGAACCCTCGGACGGGAGCGCCGCCGCGCTTCCCAAGCGGCGCACTATCCAGTGCGCCACCGGGCCGGCCTCCTCCTGTCTCTTGATTGGCTAGTCCCTCACCTGCTTGGGGCATGCCTGGACCCTCCTCTCTTCAGAGGGTTGCCTGCTCTGGCAGGCACCTAGCAAGGAGACTCTTGCTTATTTGGGGGCTCAATTTTAGGGTCTGTGCCCTAGCGATTCCTGAATCTCTGGTCTGTATCAACAGCCAGTTTCTGTGGATGTCTCCACTGTATGCAGCTTAGGAACCTCTGTCTCAGGTGACTCGACAGATCTTATTAGCCCCCAGACCTCACCCCTGTGCCCCAACCACCTGGTGGCCAGTACAGACATCTGAGTGGTAGTTCTATGCTCTCCCCTCCTGGCTCTCTTGGAACTTCCTCCTAAGTGTCCCTGGAATATCTGCATGTACATTTGAGTGAAGGTCTTTCTGTCGCATCAGCTCAGCTGCAAGCTGGGAGTCGTCTGTGTCACATTCTGTACCCCCAGTGCCAGCACATTAGGTATCCAGTCACTCAGTTACTGAGCGCCTCCTCCGAGTCAGCTGCAGGGCTAATCTCTTAGGATACAGCATGGAAGCAAACAGTGAGTGATATGTCAAAAATTGAAACAGGCTGATGAGATAAGAGGGTGACCAGGTAACCACAGAACTCTGAGGAGGTTACATTTAAGATGAGACCAGAGTTATACGAAGGAGCAAGTTGTACTCAGATCTGTTGGGAGAACTTTTCAGACAGAAGGAACAGCTAATGCAAGGTGGGGGTGAAGAAGCTGATAGCAGCAGATAAGTGTGATAGACCAGGGCTCAGCAAACTTTTCTGTGAAGGGCTACATAGTAAATATTTTAGGCTTTGCTGGCGATATGGTTTCTTTCAAAACTCCCTATCTCTGTCATTTTGTGGTAAAGCAGCCACAGACAGTACATAAGCAAATGAACTGTCTTTAAACAAAACTTTGGGCCGGCCCGTGGCTCACTCGGGAGAGTGCGGTGCTGATAACACCAAGGCCACGGGTTCGGATCCTATATAGGGATGGCCGGTTTGCTCACTGGTTGAGCGTGGTGCTGACGACACCAAGCCAAGGGTTGAGATCCCCTTACCGGTCATCTTTAAAAATAAATAAATAAATAAATAAAATAAAAATAAACAAAACTTTATTTATGAACACCAAAAAGTTCTTTATATTTTCAGGATACAAGTCTTATGTATTTGTATTGCAGATAAGAGGTACTTCACAAATTCATGGAAAGATTTATATTATTTTTTAATTTTATTTTTCCACAAACTTTTTGAAGTGCTGTCTTATATTCTCCCAGTCTGTGGTTTGCCTTTTAATTTTAACAGTGTCTTTTTTTTTTTTAAAGATGACCGGTAAGGGGATCTTAACCCTTGACTTGGTGTTGTCAGCACCACGCTCTCCCAAGTGAGCCACGGGCCGGCCCTTAACAGTGTCTTGAAGAGCAGATGCTTTTAACTTTGATGAAGTCCAGTTTATCAAGTTTTTTTCCTTGATATTTTGTGCTTGCTTTTGTGGTGGGAGCAGGGGTACTTTGTTTTCCATGTGGACATCTACTTTTTCCAGCATCATTTTTTTTTTAAAGGAGGACTGGTAAGGGGATCTTAACCCTTGGCCTGGTGTTGTCAGCACCACGCTCAGCCGGTGAGCGAACCAGCCATCCCCTATATAGGATCCGAACCCGTGGCCTTGGTGTTATCAGCACCGCACTCTCCCGAGCGAGCCACGGGACGGCCCTTCCAGCATCATTTTTTGGAAGACTATCTGTATTAGTCCAAAATACACGGAACTATGGGCTGGCCCCGTAGCTCACTCGGGAGAGTGCGGTGCAGGTAGCACCGAGGCTGTGGGTTCGTATCCTATATAGGGATGGCTGGTGTGCTCACTGGCTGAGCATGGTGCTGACAACACCAAGCCAAGGGTTGCGATCCCCTTACAGTAAAAAAAAAAAAAAAAAAATACACGGCACTGGGTAATTTGTAAGAAAACAAAATTTATTGTTTGCAGTTTCAGAGGCTGGGAAGTCCAAAGTCCAGAGAAGACGTCCAGTGAGGGCCTTCTTTGGTGATGACTTCAGTGACCCAGGGGTCTCACATTGCAAGATGGTGGAAGCAGAGAGAGCAGAGAGAGACAGACAGACTCTTCTCTCCTTTTAAAGCCCTCAGAACCACGCCTCTGACCACCATTTTTAATCCATTCACTACTGCACGGTCCTTCAATCAAGTCAGCTCTTCAAGGCTCCACCT